CGTTCATAAGCCCCCATAAGACATTGTTGCTTTTACTGTTATTGTACCAATTAAACAAACAACATATAACGTGTTAATTAGTGAGGTGCTGATAGGCAGATTTTGTTACCTTTGGATAGAGCCAGGCTAACTGCTTCCGAATGTTTCCAGTCTTTGTGCTAAGCTAAGCTAACCGACTGTAGCCTTATAATTACCATACAAACACAAGAATGGTATTGATCTTATCTAACTCTTGGCAAGAAAGTGAATTAACGTATTTCCCAAAATGTTGAACTATTCCTTTAAGTTTTGTGTTTTCGTTAATTCTTTGTTCTATTTATTCAGTTGTTTTTCATTCTTTATATTTATTAGTCTTTATATTTTATGTTTTTATTACATTAATCACTGATCTAAATGATCTTAGTTTAAAATCTTTCGATCTTTTTTCAGATGGCTACGCCTTCTCTCAAGACGAGAACGGAGTGGTGTCTCAGTCTGAGGTCATCAGAGCATACGACACCACTAAACAGAGGACCGAGAACGAGTGGTGAGCCGCCGGCTAATCTGGAGCCACAACAGTCGTTTCTAACGGCAGTATTTGAAGCTTAACGGGGAGAAGACGAGGCGCGAGCATGTGCCTCCAGCACTGAAGGGAGTTTTGGACGTGAATATGAAATGGACAGAGGAGAGGGACATGGCGTTGTCTTTGAAAAAGGGAGAAAAAAAACAAAAAACAGGAACAAAACAAAACATGTTCACTATCAGCTGTAGTGATGAGCACCGTGCTTTCTTAGCAGTCTGTGATCTGAAGTTCTTCACTGTTCTCGCTCAGTTTGTTGCAGTGAACTCCTCCTTCGCTATTGAAAATCATCTAAAATCAGTGAATTAAATTGAAATCAAACTCCTAAACACTGTTATTATAGAAGTTAAAAGACGATGATTAGTTTTAGAGGATTTGAACTGCCAAAGAGCAGTCGTATATACAATCTTCCAAACACTAGTGAATTCGGAAAACTTTAAACCAAATGGATTCACACTCCTGAGTGTATTTCAGCACTAAATGGACCACTTCAGAATAGACATTTGTAATGTTTTAATTTTCTTTTTGCACTTAAGGAAGCATCTGTTATGTAAAGCCTTACATTTGTTCATGCCTTCATACTCGTTTCTTTTAAAACGCATTTTTTTCTCTTTGGGTTCATTTTTAAAGTATGTAGATATCGTGCCTGGTCGTTCCTTTTAAATTTATTTTTTAAGAAGTTGCCTCCTGCAACCTACCGTAGTCCTGTGTCCACCGTTTTTACAGCAGAAGCATTGCTCTTGACACATAATTGCATTCCACACATCACTCCTGTCTCAACAATCACAACGGTGCCTACATAGAACCTTTCCCTCATAGACGAAAAACATAACTAAGAATAGTTTAGCAAGCTAGCTTAGACCAGTGCTCCACACACTCCTACTGAAGACAAAATCACCCACTCCCCACCACAGTATTGCACTCGTACAATGTGAAAACTATAGAGTGCCTTGTGGCACATGTATAAACTAAGATTTGTTCCTGCAGAGGTGAACAGGAGGTTCTCTGATGGTCTTGTTGAAGCTTACAGTGGTGATAAGCGTCTCCCTTAAAATGGAGATTTTATCCTTCTAACATAAGTGCCATTAGCTCGAGGGAGAAAGAAGTATTAGCCAGGAAAACTCCACGACAATATCAAACTACTTTGTCTCTATAGTTATTTTGTGGATTTGTATTTTTATATTGGAGATGTATGAATTTTGCATTGACTGGCTTTGTAATGAACTGTCTGTAACTTTTAGTTTTTTCTTCCTCTGATAAACTGGCAGGATAGAATAGATCGAATGAGGAAACTGAGCTTTCTTAAATGTCTTGTTATTATTAATATTAATATTGTTATGGCTTGATTTATTTATAATTGACTACTTAATGTCTGTGTGGTTGCTTTCTTCTCCCTATGGGAGATCAGATTTCTGATGGTGTGATTGTGTATGTCCGTTTATTGCCTGCATGTGCATGTGCTGTGCGAGTGCGAGTGCGAGTGTGAGTGTGTGTGTCACCTCTACCGTGGATAATGTCTATGTATGCATTGCATGTCTGTGTCCTCTATGTGAGACTGGGTGTTTCTGGCGTGTCAGTCCTCATGGTGTGTTTCTTTTATCGTGTGTGGGTGTGTGTATGGTGACGCTTGCTCCAGTTGTCTGTCTGCACGACTCCAGGTATAGCTATGGTGTACTACTGTGTGCTGATGCATGGCCAGTATGGGAAAGTATGAGTGTTAGTGTGTGGTATGAAAATGTGTTTGTGGTCAAACTCTTGGCCTCGACTGTGGGAGTTTCTGATGCTCAGCTTGCTTCGACAGGAGATGTTGCACAAAGCACTCGATGTACCTTTCCAGTAGTGGATATCTGGTATTATCTGATTATTATTTCTCTTGAGTGTACATGTTTGTAACTTGTTTTCTTCATGCAGTGTACCTCTGCTTTACAGGAAAGCTCTTTTGTGTTTCACAGCTAAGTGAGGGTTTATGATTAAATTACTCTGCTGGTCATTGGTGTTGAAACTTCATTGGTCGTCATCTTCGTCAAAAATGTCCAAACCGCTGAATGTGGATGTCGTCGTTGTGGAAGGCTTGGACTGTTGCTTTCTTTTCCCAGAAAACATAAAACATGCTGTTGTCTGTGAAAGTCGTGGGCTGCATGAATGGATAACACAAACTGTTTATCTGCAATGTTAACTGTACTACTTTGATTCTCCCTCAAGTGTTGATCACTTCACAAAAGAGACAAAAATGCACCTTTTAACTTTTCTTTTCAGTATTTGTTTCTTTTACGTCATTTTGTTCAATGATTGTTCTGCATGTTGGGACTGCAAATGTATAAGTGTTGTCTTTAACTGCCATGAAGGACTACTGAAATAAACAATCATGGAGGAACAATGTGTGTATTTGCAGGTTTGTAATCACTGTCATCTTGTGTCTGTGTGTGGCGACTAACAGGACAAACATCACAGTGAGAAACTAAACAGGAAAAGGCAGGGAGAAACATGAGTCTACACGCAGGACAAACAAATGATACCAATAAATACCTTATTTGTTATCATGGTGAAGTTTAATCGACGTCCTACTTGTGAGGACTATCTGGCATCCCAAACAGACAGGAATCTGTTCATATAATCGTCGAGTGTCCAGACTAATTTAACATTTATTCTTATTTATCAATTAAGATACGTTTATGGGATGTAAATCTTGTAGATGTTCAAATTAATTTTGATCTGAAAGAATGAAATACTATTGGCAACTATTTGGATAATCTGTAATTTATTTGTCAACTTTTCAAATGTGAGCATTTTCTGCTGTTCTCTGTTTTACTATTACAGATAAAACATGTTTGGGTTTTGGATTGTTGATCGGACAAAACAATATTTTAAGGCGACACCTTGAGTTTTAGGAACTTGTTATAGACTGTATCTAACATTGTATATACCAAACAATAAATCAAGAAAGGAATCGTCAGAAATACAATAGAAGAGAAACTGGTGTATCTGCTTAAAGTGCAGCCAAACAGACTCAACTGAAGAAGTCAAAGGTTATTGCAAGTCAGAGCAGCCGGTGTGTCTGTTTACAGCTTTCAAGCCTTCTTGTTTCATCGCTGCATTATTTAAAACTGATCTGACGAAAAATGCCAAATAGGACAGTTCTCTTGTTTTGCTATCTTCTGTGACAAATACAGTGCGGGTGTTTCCTGTCTCAGTGTGATCTCCAGCAGCACTGTGTTTGGGTTGGTGTTTTCATCATCATGAAAAGGAAACTTGGCTTGTTAGGACATATCTGTAGAAGGGAAAATGGTCGACTGGTGTTTGGTACAAAAAATGGATCATTGAGGGCAGGAAGACTGAACAGAGAGTGGCTGGACGATATCAAGGAATGGTGTCAGACCGATAACCACACACTCAGGTGGATGGCACAAGACCGTTACATGGAGGTGGACTTTCGGGAATGCATTGGACACCAACAGGCACGAGCCCATGAAATGATAGATGGATAGACTTCACAGAGAAATAATAAGTGAACCTACATCGGCTGGGTATTGTTGAAAAAATGCTAACCATAAATGGTTCAAAAACGTGGTTTGATTTCCTGAAAATCTTAACGATTGCAACTTTATTGTGTTGTTGATCTCACATTGACTTAAATATAAGATGGATTTTGTTATGAGAAGAATAAGAGTGGTTTTAGAAGTTAAAGACCCAGAAAAAAGTTTGAATTTTGATGGAACTTGTGAGGCAGAACAAAGTAAAAGCCTTAAGTGTGAGGAGTGATCATCAGAATTTCTGCCTTCTTGGATAACTTGGAAAAGAAGCTGGAAATGTTTTCGAGGCATGGCAAAGACATGAAAGGTGATACCTATCAGAAGGATTTAGAAAATGTCATGAGAACGAGTTCACAACTCGTGTTTTCCTTTTATAAGCAGAGCGTGGAATGTGAGAACTGACGTCCGAACTGACAGCCGCAAGTATAAACAATACCTGAAAAAGTTAACACTGGAATCTGTCAAATAACCCGATCATGGAGTTGTGTTGGTGATAGAAGAGTCCAGTGATAACAGCACAGCCAGAAAACTGAACCATTTCCACAAGACACTCATTGCCAAGTCTATTTCACAGTCAGATAACCGGAGAACAGAACAGTCTTTGTTCAGATTTTTTCATACCTGTTGGTGCAACCTAAACCTTTATTTCTGGGGCGAGTTGTTTTTAACACTGTGACCATGCCATGCTCATTGAACACTGACAATGACTGATCTCAGCGCTGCATTCCTGCTGTGAAGTCTGGCGCAAGAATGTGCGGCAGGTAGGGAGATGCTGTGCAGACCCGACCGCTCCGGTTTCCTTTTTGTCTGAGCGATGATGAGGGCTTCTTTCAGACCACACGCTTTTTTTTTGTTCAATTGTCAAAAATGTAATTTAACAGATTTTTCTTTACATTTACCAGTGCACAAAGGTAGGTAGAGACAACATTTTATTTACTGTAAATTAGGGAATCAATCTGACAACCCTGCTGTGAGTATAATGCCTGTACATCATCTTATAAAAGTCAGTTTCCTCCAACATAAAATGTCCTTTGTGTCCTCTTTCAAAGGTCCTTGCGATTGTCAAAAAACACAATATTTCCCTGGTTTCCAACATCTATTTCTAATAATGTAACAATGCTCAGAGTCTCAGAGTGACAGTTTCAGTGCCATCTGCCTCTACTGTATTTCTGTTTTTTCGTTTTAAGGAAGGTGTGTGATAAATTGGCAAGACTTTAGTCTGTTCTGTAAGCTTTCACTTTGAAAAACAACATGTATAAAAAATAAATGTTGGCCAATGAGGTGTGTTTACAATATCAGATAAAAGTGCACAAGATTCATAACTATTTCTGCCTCTAACAGGTCTGCTGATGTGCCCTGTGATGCAGAGAGGGAAACGCATCAGGCCTCGCTGCTTTGTTATCCCTCGTCCTCCTGTCGCACTCCCTGTGTCCGTTCATCTGACCCAGCCCTTCCACCCAAACACCACCAGCTTTTGTTGCAGTAGGTATGTCCTCGCGGGCTCACATCCTGCCATCTAAAAATCTTGTAATCCCTCCATTTCCTCGTCAGCTCTGTCCGAAGTCGGTGAAGCCCTTGGCCGCTGTGAAGGCGTCGGCCTGCAGGGGGAAGAAGTACTGCTGTGGGAGAAGGAACCCGGCGCTCTGAGAGTGGTGAGAGGCCATGGAGGGCTGGTGGAGCTGTAGCTGGGCATGGGTGGAGGGGTGTTGGATTCCTCCTGACATTGATACTGGTGGGGATGTGTAGGGTGGAGGTGGAGGCGGGGGCAGAGTCTGAGGGGTCTGGGTGGGGGTGGAGGCTGAGGAGGAAATGGTGGCAGACACCAGGCAGCCGTGCTGCTGCCCCTGACCTCCAAGAGAAAACCTTCGCATGGAGCTGCCGCCTCCGGCCGAGCTGGAGCTGGTGGTGGCTGTGCTGGACTGTCGCGACGGGGAGCGGAGGCTCGGGGGAGCGGTGGTGAGGATCATAGGGATGGTTTCGCCCTGGCAGCTGCGCAGGGAGAAGCGAATGGGCTGCTGGGTCGGCTGCTTGGGCCGCAGGCAGGTGCAGCAGTAGACAGCCACCAGGGAACCGACCACGACGAAGGCAACAAAGATGCTTCCAACCATCAGGAAGGGCACGTAGATGGGCTCTGAGGGCAGAGGAAACACAGGCAGGTTAGGATCAATAATGATGAAGCTCCTTCATGGGACAAAGCTGCAGGGTATTAAAACGAGTTTACATATAAGAAAAAACATAATTAGTGTTGTGATTTTCTATATTTTTTGCCCTGGATACATTTTTATTTAACTGCTGAAAAATGTTCAGAGAAACTGAATAAATCAAAGATAAAATACATTATTTCTAACAGGGTAACACTTTAACCCAACTATGTATAATTTACAAGTAGTATATAAACATTTAATAAATGGTGTATGATTTTTTATGGTTTTACGCATAAGACATTTATTCATCTATAGTATTTGTCAACAATTCTAACTTCTCCTATGAAGACATATAGTATTACTATGTTTTACTATATTGTCATTTATCTTATATACACCAGCCTCCACTTATGGGTGGAATTAAAGGAATTAAGCAAATACATTAATAAACACTTATATCTGCTTACATTATAGTGTGTTATAGAATATTAAATATGCATGTAGTGCTTATATATCCTAAACACGGAGGTTAAAGTTAAGTGTTACCTTCTTGGTCTATAAAAACTACCTATGCTACTATTTATGGAGGCTAAAATCGTAATGCTAAACATGGCTTCATCAGGTCATTTCTTTTAACTCCTTCATAGTATTATTAACAAAACCTAACAGACACATTCCTGCTGAAAAACCTAAACAGCTCAGGTTACACTTTATGAAGCCCATTTGCACCCTGGGAGGAAATAAAGAATGTTTATTTATTTTGGTAGGAAAAAATAAGGAAATTGCAAGTACACTGTCCACTCAGTTAAAGCCACAAAGCTTATCAGTTAGGGGAATTTAAAGAAAACTGATCCTCAATCCTTGAGGGTTAAAGGGATCTATTATTTAAAGATTTCACTACTAACAGAGGGTTAATGCAACACTTTGAGTCTGTTAAATGTTTAAAGAGGCCAATGGAAAATTAGTTTCTGTCTCATAATGTTGTGAGCTGTCAAAGTTAATGCATTTTATGTTTGGATGCACTATAAGCCCCGCTTGTGAGAAAAGGTTTTGAATACATCTCTGGAAAACACTGACTTCTGATTTGTAAATAATTTGTTTTAAGAACATTTGTTGAGTAGCCAGAAACTGGAAACTGGATACTTTGACTGATTAATTTTGGAAATACACGAAAACCTTAAAGCATAGAAAAAGATAGATAAGACAAAACTTTCAGTCTTTAAAATTTTCTAAGAAAAGTGTAATTTTCAATCATCAGTGTCTAATTTAGTTTCCTGCAATTTTAGTTTTTTTTTTTTTTTTTTTAAACACAATGTTTTCTTCTTGCATTAAATCTTTAGCATAGTGTTTCATTTCTCATAATTTCATATAACAGCAGGTTGGTCTGGTGGAAATGTCCTAGAGCAAGGCACTGAAACCTGTTTTTACTGGTGTTGTTTAGCTGACCTCTATGTAGAAACCAACATTCCTAAAGATCAGTCCGACTATATAAACCACAAATTAGACTTAACATGGGTATGCATCGTAGGCCTACTGCATTTGTTACAATTACATTTAGGTTAAATGCAAGTAGTTTAAGAATTAAATCATATGTGTGGTGTTCATCCGACCTAAACCAACTCTGAACTATTTTGCATTTTTTATGTTAAGTTTTACTAAAATTCTGCAATTGGGAAGACCTGAGAAAACATTTTTAAACACGAGTTTAAAACCACCAAACTTACGCGCTGCAAACTCTGTGTTGTCCACCTCCCGGTCGTTGGTGCAGCTGCCCTGGTCCAGCCGTGCGTCCGCGGCCGCGCAGCAGTAGCGCAGCGAGCAGGATCCGCAGCACACGGTGGCGTCCATGGTGTCAAAGTCCTCCGGACACTGGAAGCCATCATGATAATTCCCATTAGCGTCCAGCCAGCCGTGGCAGTATTCCCCCTGTGCGTCCGATATCCGCAGATTCCAGGTCAGATATCCCAGCAGTAGGCAGTTCAGCAGGCACACCATCCCGACAAGCCGCTGGGGTTCACGGTTCCCTGCGTCCTGTGGGCTTCAGCTCCCGGGCGCCGGAGTGTGTCAGTCCGGGTTAGAGACTCTTCATTCATAAGTTACTGACAGAGAAGCTCAGCGAATTGACCCAAACACGTTATGTGACCGTCATCTTCCCACCATCCACACCGTTCTGAGCAACAAGTCGCCAAACTGAAAAGTGAGCAAATCCTTAATTGACACTTTTCTTTGAGCCACTTATTAAAATATCACTGAACTTTGCGAAACATGCGAGAGTTAAACAGTCTGTTCCGGGTTTCCCTCTGTTCTGCCTCTTCACCTGGCCGCTCCTGAGGTCGTTTGTTGGTGTCGGTGCAGAAGTTGTGCGGCCACCTCATTGCAGACTTGCTGCTTTTGTGACTCGGTGACTGAACCCCCCGCACGTAGCATCCGTTTACAAGACGTGCGCGTTCACGTGGCGCGGTGGTCGCAGCGCTGCAGGGATGCCAATTATTCAAAGCCTTGAGTGTGCTCAAGTAACATGCATACATTATCTTAATGAGCTTATTCTGGGTGAGAGAAGGGCTCAGTGCCGCATATGTAGACTGGTGGATAACCTGCAGTTTAATGTGTAACGTTAAATGTCAGTAGGCCTAAATGTAAAAACGAGAAGGACAAACGGTCAAATTCAGAGAAAAAAACACAAGAAAATGACATGCTTGCTGACATTTAAAGTGAGACCAAGTAGGCTACATTATGAAAAAAGAAATAACTAAATTGCATGTTCTGTTACAAATGAAAACTGAGCTTGTTTTCAGTGGTGGAAGAAGTAGGCCACTATTCAGATCTTTCAGTCTAAAAAGTAGGCTAAAAGTAGGCTACTGTCCCATTTCAAAGTAACATAGGCTATATTATATTTTTTATTATAAATATTGATGCATTAATATGTGTAAATACGGTGTTTGTAAAGATCAGCATTAAACGGTTATTGTATTAGTAGACTATTATAAATATCTTTCCATTCTTGGCTTGCAGCAGTGTTCAGTTTGTTGTCTACAAATCGAAACAATATTGATCAAGCACTTGTTGGTGTTTTGCTGAACATTACGCAGAAGAAACTCCCGATCTGTCTGGCCTGTTGAAAAGATAGGAGAAAAAAAAGACAGGGTTAAACAGCTGCAGCAGGTCTCATTCCTCCGTCTATGAAATGTGTAACCTATTGATGTGGCGCCCCCATGTGTTGCTGCAAACTTTCAGGCCTGCAGGCTACTAAACAGCTGCTGCCACACCAAACTTGGGAAACATAAAAGGTAGCCTACATTTTGACTGAAAGTGTAGACAGCTGGAGTTTTAACTTATTTTTAAAAAGTATAAATATGGATCCGAAGAATAAAATATTTAGTCTGGAATTCACTACAAAAGGGATAGGCTTATAACATTATTTTCAAGCAGTTTATTCCATTTTATTCATTCAATAATAATTGTACAAACATTTAGAGAAATCAAAAATAAATAATATCAAAATATTTCCCGTTGGAGTCTTTGCTCCTACATGTGTGGGCGTGGGTCGCCTTGTCTTTCTTTTGCGCTCATGTTGCTCTATTGATGCTTGAGCTCAGTAGCAAAATGGCCTCTGCCTTTTCATTTGTCGAATTTCGTTCAGCGTTTTTTTTTTTTTTCATTTCCAGATTGTACAACTGCTACAGCGCCCCGTTGTTCTCTGTGTGGATGGTGGCTACAAAGGAGGCAGGCAGCGGCGCACAAGTCCCGCCTGCATTTCCCTCTGGAAGAGTCTCAGTATCGACACTCCCGACTGGGGATTGGAGCGGCGGCTTGTCAGTAAATTAGCCCACCCTTCACCCAGTGTGCATGAGGGAAACCGAGCCAGACAGTGACGGATCTGATCCCCCACCCCCCCTCCACCCCCAAGTCATCAGCTGCCTGCCACACCAGCACGCTACAATACCGACCCGGAGCCATCCGCCGCGCTGTGACACCTGGCAGGGATGGAGAGAGAGATGCAGCCCGCAGATGAAGGGCCCTGCGCCCCGAAGATGTGCCGACAACAGCGGGGGCCGTACAGCACCCTGAAAACCTTCCAGAGCAAGCGCTCTGCGGGCAAGTCGCGTTTTGACAGGTCCGCGGTGGTCGAGGTGCCTCTGTTTGGCGACGGGCATCACTTCACTTTCCATCCTGAGCAGCCTCATCATTTCCAGCCGCACCATCACCAGCAGCAGCAGCGTCTCCAGCAGCTCCATCAAACCAGCGTCGCTATCAGCAGTAGCCAGCAGCAGCAGCAGCAGCAGCAACATCGTTTCCCATGTGAGAACAGGCCCAGCAGCAGGGTCCCGACATCCACCTCGGCGCCGGCGGGTTGCGTGGCGGCAGCAGCAGCGTCTCCTGGTACCCAACAGAGGCGCGCCAACAGCGGCAGAGCTGAGCCCAGATTTTCCCCAGACTGCACTTATGGTATCAGCTCAGGTGGGTTTCAAACTTGTTCAGAGTGAGTGATCAGAGTGACTCCTGGTCTGTTTTGATTTGAGACTTTTCTGATCTACATGCTCCCACATTGTCCTGATTCTGGTGTAAATTTTGGATTTTGCAGCCCACATATTAAGATAAACCCTCTACAGAGTCAATAAACTTGATTGGAAGTCAAAACAATACTTCATTTAAAACAAGCATCTCTTTTGTTTGCTCTGCTTCATGTTTTTGTTCCCGTTTTTCCCCTCTTTTTCTTCCTGTCAGCAATGATGGATTTGCTGCTGTAATGAGAGCAGTCTTGATTGAATCTTCACTGTGCATGTGCTAAAAATTACATTGCGTCTACATTGTCTATCTCCTGTGTGTTTACTTGTGCATTTTCGTGTATGTGCATGAAGGGCCTCTTATTGAATGAAACACATTGTTCGGGGCTCATTTTTCTCCTCAGCTGCTGTTCATTAGAGGGCTGTTCAGGCTCAGGAAGAAACGTTCCCCTTGTGGAGGGCGCGTCCATGGGAACCAACATTAACATGAAAGCAATGAACCTAATCTCGGCTGTTAGAAAATTAAACATTAGACATCTCATCCTCTAATCAGATATCAATCTCTTTATCACCGCCGGCAGCAGAGGCTCAATTTGCTTCAGGTTATTGTTGCTTTACAGACAATCAAGTGTTCGGTCTGAGCTCAGGTTGCACTGCAAATTAACTCACCTTCATGAGAATTCACAAATGTGTGCTGTGCAAGAGGTATTACAAGTTTGATCTAAAAATAGGCGTTAGTATCATATCTTTAACCCACTCTAATCTGTAAAAGCCAGCTTTATTCCTTTAAAGTATAAAGCCCAGGTTTCAGTGATGATGACCCATTGTTTGTATCCATTCTTGCATGCATGCAGTCCTGATTCCACTTATGAAAGAATCATTCAAAATTTTAGTTTCAATGAATCTGCCCAAATCACACAAGATATGTCATCCAATCCCAGCCAGACCTTTCTTTCTGATAATGACACATCAAAGTGCTTTTATCTGCACGATGGGAGCAACTTAATGTCCCTCTCATGGCTGGAAAAAAGCAAACAAAACTTGATGTCCTTCTTGTGAAGAGAGGCACTGAAGACCCCGGGACTCAGCAATCAGCTCGGCACACAATAACACAAATTGCATTGAAAAGCCTTTCCCAAAGAGTTGTGATTAAAATAAATGGGGCTCATAAATTTGCCTCTGCCGAGCGTGTTGTTTTTAATGAAATTTTATGAGGCTCTCAGCTCACAGTGCCACAGAACTGGCGAGGGAAGAGAGGAGGGTGGTGGGGAGTGCAGGGTGAAGGCGAATGATATCAGATACATCTCGACGGGTAAACAGAGACGGCACGCATATTAATAAATGCGACACATCTGCGCCAGGCTGATAGACACGTCTGAGCGAGTGGAAACGCAGCAGTGGCCGCCTAGAACTCATTTTGTCTGTGTGTATTTGTGTGTGTGTGTGTGTGTGTGAGGCCAGTGGATTCATAATCATTACATGGAGGTATGTGTGAGATCATCTCATTGAGACGTGCCCAGACTACCAGGGAAACTATACACTGAAGCTTGTTTCTGGACAATAGCTCTGTCCTGGATTTTCTTTGCTCGGCTGGGTTTGGTCACAGCAGACACCGTGACTTCAGAGTTTATTGACATCTGTATAAATCAACATAATCAAGTTGACATTTCTATGAGCCGTATGTTACTGTAATGCCACAATAAGACATGAAGAAGAAAGAAAAGGGAGGCATAAAGATTATGTTTCAGCACAGGTAGAAATCAGCTAAGTACATCGCTTTAAGTACTGTTGACATACTTGTACGTCACTAAAGTGTTTCCATTTTCTGATACTTTCTGCTTCTACTTCACCACATTACAGAGGAAAGGATTGTACTTTTTGCACCACTACAGTTATTTGACAAGTCAACATACTTGTTACTTTTCAGATTTAGATTTTAGATTAAAAAAACATGATTTAAGATGGTAAAACAGAATCCATTGTTAAAAATCAAACCAGTAGTTTCCAACCTCTTTGACTTGTGACCCCTTATAATAAAGTAATGTCTAGTTGGGGCCCTTTGTCATGTTTCAGATGTGAAAGAGCTGTCAGCAGTTCCACTAAGGAAAAATGTACCATTTAAACTATGTAGCTCCACCTCAACAAGATCAACAGTAAAATGCTGCTTACACATTGACGCATTAGTGTTGCAACCTAATAATGTAATGTCTAGTAATATATATAAATATATATATATCAATCACAGGGGCCATTTTACTGAAACCAAGTACTTTTACTTTTGATAGTTTCAGTTGAGAAAACCTTTAAGCAGAACTTTGACTTGTAAAGGTGGTTTTATTTTACATTGTTGTACTAATACTTTTACTTAAGTAAAGTATCCGAAGACTTCTCCCACCACTCTGTTTTTATGCGATATACCCAAACTCAAAAGATCTTGAAGGGATATTGTTTTGTCAAGAATGAACCTTGAATCTATAGTTGATCAGTCTACAGACTACAACCATGACTGACCTGCAGACAGTCTCTGACCTCTTGACCTTTCCTCTCTCCGTAGAGAATCGGCTCATCCTGGATGCCTTTGCCCAGCAGTGTAGCCGAGTCCTCAGCCTCCTCAACAATGGCCGTCTCCTGGAGCCCTCCTCCTCCTCCTCCTTTACCTCTAACATCAAGCTGGAAGACGGGCCAGGGGAGGCACAGGGTCTTCACTGCTCCTCTCTGGGAAAGTCCAAACCTGAAGAGAGTTCTTCTACCACAGACCCAGAAGAGGAGGCCCAACAAAGCCATTTGAGCCAACAACAGACCTCTGCCGTTCTCCGCATCTTCACGGACTCCCTACAGAACTACCTGCTCTCAGGGCCTCAGCAGCAACAACACCTGGCTGCGGGTATGGAAGATGAGCAGTGCCCGTCGGCGGAACCCGGCTTAGGGGTGTCTCCTCCGAGACACAACCTGGGGGGCTGGGGCTCGCCGACTCCGTCAGAGTCGTACGGCCACCCGTCGTCCACGCTGCCTGAGGAGGAAGAGGAGGAGGAGAGCTGCTGTCCACGCTGCCTGGAGTTGGAGCAGGAAGTGCTGTCTCTGCAGCAGGAGAATGAGGAGCTCCGCAACAAGCTGGAGAACATACCAGGTACAGTAATGAAAGCCAGGACTCCATTCAGTTTTGAATCTATTCTTTGGGAGGGGTCAATGGTTGAATAAATTCATACCTGTGCTGACAGAGAAAGGTGTTGTTCCACCACAAGCTACAGTGTCAGTGCTCCTTGTCATTATTTCTTTAAGTTTCTGGAGAGTTACTGGGGGGAAGAACTCCATTCTTCTAAATTCTATATTCACTCATTTAGTGTCAGGGCAGATTTTGTGATTTGGGGGCCCTGTACACAAACTCAGGCATGGGGTCTCCATTTGTGCCGTATTTTCACCCTTTCTCTAAACATTGGAATTAGCAGTGGTCGAAGAAGTGCTCAGATGTTGAGAGCTGTTGGGTCTCTGTAAATATTATTACAAAGCATATGGTCTAGACCTGCTCTATATGAAAAGTGCAATGAGATAATTTCTTTTATGAAGTGGTTTTTGAATTGACATTAAAAAAATGCAAAAGTGCAGAAATATTGTCAACGAAGTCTATTTTAATTTAAGGCTATTTTAATATAACTTTATGTACTGCTGGATCGTTTAAACCAGGGCTGTAGACTTGATTCTGGACTTGACTTGAGATCTGAAAGCAAAAAGCTGAGGAAACTTGATTTGACGACCCATAAACATTGTAAAATGCAATATTGTGTGTAGTTTTGCATCTTGGAGCTCAAACTGCCAACCAGTCATGAATAATTGATAACATGACCAGGATGCAATGTCTCCATAACCTAATGCTCACTTTCAGTTGCAGCTGCTGGCACCAGAATAAAATGAAGAAATTATCTTTTATTATTAAATTCTTAAGTCTCTATACACATAAATGTCTCTCCAGCATATCAATTATTTTCCTCCCTGCAGCCGTGAACATGTTGCTGATGCACAAATCATTTATGTATGTGCGAGTTCCTGTTTTTAGTTAGAAATATTTGTTACGTATTTGAGATATTATTTAATATGTTTTCATTTGTCTCTTGTATGAATTATCTTTTATTAATTATTTGAAGTAACATATTTTACATGCCGTCCACATGTTTTAAACCCATCAATGTGCCCATTAAGCATAATAATCTTTGTATTACTAATTTAAGAGTCTGATGTTACTTTCTATCCTTTTATAAATCTGTAATCCTCATTCAGCATGGACAGCGCTCAACATTACTCTGTAAAAAATATAAAGTTGTTTCAACATAAAGATGTGAGTGACCACTGCCTTAAAATTTCAGTTACCTGAATTACTGAATAGTTTGTAAAATGTCTTCATTAACAAACAAACTCATTACAAACAAACAAACTAACTAACTACAGTTTTATTGACAAAAACTGCTCACTCAAAGACTTGGTTCAAAAGACTAAACACAGCTCTAGTTTAATCCATAATAATGCATGATATTTATTATTATTAATACAAAATAACAAGTAACAAGCTGTCAGATAAATGTAGCAGAGGAAGTTTGATATTTCCCCCTGAAATATAAGGGACTAAATCTGTCCTAGTATAGATAGTGGAGTACAGGTATACTTTTGCACAAAATGTAAATATTCAAGTAAAGTACATGTACCCCATAACTTTAATTAAGCGCAATACTTAAGTAAATGTACTTGGTTACTTTCCACCAATGGTATTTAGAAGATTATTGATTGCCATGGATGTTATTATTTACTTTTCTTACTCTGACATGAGCTGCTCACTGGATCTGACAGTAAAAAGCAACTTTATTAATTTACTCAAGTGAGGTGCAGTACTTGTTCTTTACTTGAACCAGCTTTATATTTCTACTCCTAAGATAAGATTTTTGATCCAAAATATATCAATTGGTAAAATATGATTACGCAGCAGTATATAAAGTAGTAAAATAATGATGGTCCAACAAGGTGGACTGTGCCCATAAATTGTGCAAATGACTTACATAATTTTCATTCTCATCAAACCATTGAGGGACCACTTGTGCAACTAAAAATTGTTTTCATTATCAGTTATTCTGCCAATTATTTTCTCGGTTAATTGATCAACTGTTGAAAAAAATAATTTCCCAGAGCCCAAGGTGATGTCTCAGAATTGCTTGTTGCATTTGACTAACAGTCCAGAAAAGGAGCAAATCCTCACATCTGCAAAGCTGGAATGAATATTTCACATTTTTGCTTGAACAAGACGAAGAGTCTACAGCCATGCTAGCAGCTCTGTGAGACCTGTAATCAGGCACAGCAGTGGTTTGAGGTAAATGTCATCATTAACATGCTAACATGCTCATGATTACAATGCTAACATGCTGATATTCAGCAGGTATAAGGTTTACCATGTTCACCAAGTATTTGGTCATAAACCAAATTATTGGACAGATAAAATGGTTGATGTGAAAATGGTGCTAGATGGAAAATCAGGGGATCAGATCAAGTTATTACATCCTGAGGGGGACATGAATGTGTGTACCAAATTTCACAGCAGCCCATCCAACAGTTGTCAAGAAATCACACTCGAAACCACAAACGTTTACTCATGGTGGCGCTAAAGGTAAAGTCAAGGGATCACCAAAGTCCGCAGGCTTCATCCTCTGAGGACCATGAATGTTTGCACAAAATCTTATGGTGATCCATCCAGTAGTTGTTGAGATATTCTAGATATTCAGTCTGGACCAAACGACCAACAAAGCCAATTCTCAAAATCGTCAATTAATTTTATAAATGATTAATCAACTAAACTCTACTCTACTTATTTATTCAAGCTCTTTCTTTATGTAGTTGTTTAAGCTGGTTAAGTTCACAACCTTTTATTCATGCTATACCTTTGCGTGAATCAGTACCAAACCTACACATCCCTGTTGTTTGTCATCATTAGACCTCAGTAACTTGGTTTAAGTTTTTGTGTGTCATCTTTTTCAGAAAGCCACATGCTCTCACTACATCTAAATGCAGACACAGAGGTTGGGGCAACAGTCTTAATAGCATCTATTTTTGTTAACTTTCCTGCTCTCCCCAAAGCATTCTGAGCTCCCCAGTGCCACTTTAACCTAATTTGCACTAAAGCTGCACATTAAATGTACTGAGCAGCATCTCAATTTAAAATGACTAGATATTAGAATCAAAATGATCTTTTAGGGAAGGAAGAAAATATCGCAGGATTATCATCGTTGCAGGGATTTTCAACGATAGGTTTTTGTATTACGGGTCACATTAGTTTGTGTTTCTTTACAGTTCCATGTCAAAATGCTCTTGACTACTTCAAGACTGTTCTTGAGTTTCACAACCAGCTGGTCCAACCGATGCCAGAGGAGCCGCTCACAGAGGTGGGGAAACAGCCTCCTACAGATTATTCTCACCTATTTGATTTACATTTATATATTAAAAATATCAGATCATATTCCTCCTGCATTAGTAATTCCATCATTGTGCTAGTTGTACAATAAAGTTGTGTGAAAATAATGGATTAAAAAAGACTCTGTCTCTACAGGAAGAAGAGCGGCAAACAGTCTTTGAGGTCTGTGTTTTTATTTAAGGCTAGAATTTTTTCTGTTTTAAAAAAAAAAAAAAAGGATTTTTGTGTATATTTGTGTATTTTTTGCCTGTGAAACCAACAGAAAGTGGTGGTACATTAGTGACATTGACCCTGAAAGAACTATCCATTACATTTTACTAGTTAAAAGTAAGTTTCAAAGTTGACAAAATTTTAGACAATGCAGCAAATTTGGAATAAAAGTAAATAACCATGTGAGGCTATAGCAGTTCAGCTCATGGTGCAGTAAGGCAATGTATATACCTGAAATCCCTGTCTTCCTCGTCCCTGCAGGGCAGCAAACAGCTCCTGGAGAACTACCCTCTCTTCATCTCTAATAAGCAGTGGGATGAAGCTGTCAACTCCTCTAAGAAAGACGGCAGACGGCTGCTGCGCTACCTGATTCGCTACGTCTTCACCACAGACGAGCTCAAGTTCTCCTGCGGTTTGGGCAAAAGGAAGCGTTCAGTCCACTCAGGAGATCCAGGCCTGGAGAGGCGACCCCTCAACCCCGTCAAAGTCAGCTGCCTCAGAGGTACATGGCCTGGAAAAGTCTGTTGATATTGAAGAGTGTTTGCGTTCAGTCTAGTCAATTTCAGTTTGAAACACTGATAGAAATTGAAATTTGGTTATCTTAACATTATGTTTTATTTAACCTGTATTTATTCAGGGAGCTTCACTGAGAGCAACATCTCATTTACAAGAAGGCCCTGATCACATTCACACTATTACACATTAGCACCTGGAAGCTACCCAGTATAACCGCATCCTAGTCTGCTGGCCACTAAGCAGTTTTTGGGGTATGGACCTTGCTCAAGGGCACCTCAGTGGTGTTAAATGAGGGAGGGCAAGAACTTTATCCTACCGGGATTAAACCGGCATCCTCCCGGTCACAAGCTTGCTTCTTTAATCTTTGGGCCACCACTGCCCAATTATGTTTGTCCTAAGATCTGATACATCATGGTCACATGGTTTTATTTATAACCGATCAGATTCAACTGATTAAAATTCATGTTTTTATTCCTTTCTACTCTCCTACACCAGTTGACTACTGTTACAAGGCTAGGCAAGTTTGTAACACCTTTTCCATTCATTTCCACTATAAATTGTCTCACATATTTCTTATTTAAACTTGCATTAACTTGATTTTTTTGGCCACTTGGAGGCGTTTAAACTTGTTAGCAACCAGTTATTTACACATCCTGCAGCCATTAAGCAACATTGTTTATTTATTTGGAATCATGTTTGTGTCCATAGCTGATCAATGTAAGTCCAATATTTACTCTCTTTTAGCTCTGTTTTTGGTCTCTACCAACTCCTGAAGGAAATATCCTACGCTATAGCTGCTAAATTCTCCACTATGTTCACCAGCAAGTCGCTAACTGTGTCTGTGAGCTGTATAGTGATGAGCATGTGTACAATATGTTTTTAGAGACGAGAGCTGTTAGAGTAAACCAGAACAGCAAAGTTGTGGCCGTGCAGCTAAATAATGAGCTGAAACTTTCCATCGTTCACACTGTCATATTGTCATTTCATACTTTGTTATAAAAATATTAATTATAACTTCTTGAAGGGCATATCAGATGTTGTTTTCCACTGACCTCACATGTGGGTCATTTCTAAATATGGATTGAAAAAGATCAGGTCTATGCAAAATATATGATCAAGCATTAATACTTGTAATGTGAATGTCACCTGAGATTCTGCTTTTAAATTATAATAAGTACCACTGCCATGGTTTGTGTGACCAATGTACATTGAAGTTAAAGAGTATTAGGGCAGTGATATATTTTTCATTACATTATAAATATGAAAAAAAACGCAACTTGTATCTATCCTCATTCCTTTCGAACCTTGATAAATATCAAGGCTTGCTTTTATTTCCTGTAATTAGGAATTTATTTTTAATGATGAAAAATCTCCCTGCCAGAGTTCATCCGGATGCACTGTGCCTCAAACCCAGACTGGTGGATGCCCTCCGAGGAGCAGATAAACAAAGTGTTCAGTGATGCCGTCGGTCACGCTCGTCAGGGCCGAGCGGTCGGTACGTTCCTGGGCAGCAGCGGCAGCAGCACCAGCAGCCTCTACATGGACGGCTTTGATGGACATCTGTCACAGGACGAACTGTATTTAAAAGGCTGCCAGAATGGCCAATCGGACTGAAGTTAAAGGAGAAAAATAAAGACAGATGCCAGAAATGTAGCTGTACAACAACATATCCCAAAACACTGACCTTATCCTGTCACTTTACAAAGTGAAGAAAACATTCCAGAAGTTTATCAAACAGAATATAATTACAGTCTCTCTGTAGCAGTTCCTCTTTTCAGTTTTGTAGCTTTTTTGCCATTTTTATACCTAAAATTTTGTTTAGTCAAAACATTTGACTCTAAAGGGGTGTTTTAAACTTTACACAAAATTTGAGTCTTCCATTTGCTACTTTTTCTATGGTTTGATGTTATGAGCACGTATGTCACTATCAATAGTATATTTGTTTGTTTTGTATTTTTTGGGATAAAGTCCCAGTGAATTTTTGTGCTAATGTTTCCCAAGCTGGAGACTTTATGATATCCGTCACTGACACTGCACACTCTATCACAGAGAATAGCATTTGCATTTTTTATTTAAATTCTGCATCATTGGTGAAGCACCTTTACTTGCAGCCCTTCTACAGGAGTGCCTCTAAGAAAGTCATGTTTTTGTTACCTATAGTCTTGCACTTTGAATCCCGTTTTTTGCTTTCTTAATTTGTATCAATTCTGATGTGTCAAGTTTTATTTCTGAAAAAGAAAAGTTCATTCAAAGTTCATTCCAGTGTGCTCAAATGTAGCATCCCTGGGGTTGAAATAAGTGGTGGTCAAAGTTGGTCTGTGTGCAACTGAAAAAAAGGCGTGTCATATTGCGGAACACCTATAAAATAAGTCACAGAGACACTTTTAAAACTTAATTTGCTTTCCAACGCAACTACAACCAAAGTTTTGTTCCTCTTAAAGTCTTAGATATTAACTGTTCAATAACAGGCCCTGCAGAATTCCTTACATCTGCAAAGGTTACATCCTAAATTTGTTTGAAATACAGTATATGGCAGCCTTGTAAAGCTGATGTTTGTTCCATAAAATGAAGATATTCTCATTGTTAAAATGCAGATTAGCAGGAAACAACAATAAATACTATTTATGCTAATTTCTGCACTGTCTTATAAAAATTAAGTATTTGCTCTGTCAGTTCTTTTTATCATCCCGGTGCAAAACGTCTTGCATTAATCCAACCGCAAGGTAAATTTATTGCTTTTGACATTCAGTCAGTCATTAGCAAGAAGTTTCTTTGACTCGAGATGAATCAACGTTATGTCTTTTTGTTTAAGGCAGTTGCCATATAATAATGCCTTAAACTTTATTCAAGACCTCTGCAGTATTAAGTGTTGATGCTTTGTGTGTTAGGGTTAGGGTTTTCCACTTCTAATTATCTCTTAACCCACATGGTGGGGGGATTGAGCACTTATTTCTCTCCGAAGCTCTTATTTGCACTTTTAAGTGTCTCATTGTGGCTAAAGTCACCCTACAGTGAGAAGTCCTTGAACTGAATTTAACCATTTGTATTCTTTGACTATGTATTTATTTGTTTTGGTACTCAATAACTTCCCTTCATGACACAGTTTTTCTACGTTTTAATGTACCAGATTTATTAGGTCCGTTTGCCACGTCGACAGTGCTGTGTAAATGTGTAATATAAAGTACAGTATTGTGTGAGGTGTTCTTGAAATACCATGTCTCTCTCTTTTAAAAAGCCAAGTAGAAAAGTGCCACAGAAACCTTTAACAGTTGGATTCTGTCGTTGTGTTACTGTTCTGAATGTGAGCGTTTATTTGTATTTACTCCTTTACCCTCAAAGTGGCTGTTATTAACACTGTGAAACATCAGTAGGGTTTTTACAAATCTAATGGCTTCTGTTGTTTTTTAATTATAATAAATAAAATAAGCACTGAAGCTGAAATCTTACATTGATTTTAGCATGTGTCGAGTATCATGTATAGAGTTATGTAAACTTGTCAAAAATTGCATTATTGTACACATTTTGTAATTCTTAGGGAAGGATCCGTTTAAAGGGAGAGTAGTGTTTATTTACAGCACAGTTTTATTTTTGTGTCATTAAATATCATCAAATCTATGATTCCATATAGTCATGCATTGGCTGGTTAAATTATGTTTTGAGACACTTACAGTTTGGGTATAAAGATATAAAGTAACTTATGATTGGTGGATTGTAGTTATGTGGGTTTGACAATAATTTGTTTTTTTCTTTAGAATGGAGATTCAAATAATTTCAAGCAGTGGTGGAAGATGTGCATGACTTTTACTTAAGAAAAAGTAGCAATACAACTATGTAGAACTATAACTGCTTTAAATCCTGTTGGGACTGTTAAATTTATAGCACTGCAACATATTTTATATATTGATCAGATGAATAGGTATGTAAAATATTAATCTGCAAAGTAACTAGTAGCCATTAGATAAATGTAGTGGAGTAGAAGTATAAAGTAAAATATAATGGCAACACTCATACAAATGAGAAGTACCTCAAAACTGTACTTGACAACAGTACTTGAGTAAATGTACTTAGTTACTTTCCTCAGCTATTTGCAAGACAGCATCTGCTGGTAAAGCTACATAAATACATAAATTCAGGGCTTTGAATTTCTAAGGACTGTTTCTGGAAGTGGTGCTGATTGTTATGTTTCACGAATTTCTTTGGATCCTCCCACCTTGACCAAAAGAAAAACATAGCAACACCCTCCTCACAATATCTCAAAATAAAACAATGCTACAACCACCAATAAATAAAGATGCACACTAAATTTAAGATGGTGTACAATTTAAACCATTATATGTTAACTGCGTAACAATTTTCACATAGCCACCAAATCAATCAACACAAGCAGAATTAGCAACTGCAAAAACTATTGGTATAGTCCCTAACACACTTTTACTACATAGGCATTTGTCATGAAAGACATTTTGAAACTTACAGTAGGAAAATCAAAGCTGTGAATTATAAAATGAACGATGGCTGGAATCCATTTAGCTGATTCAGTTTTAGGGTCCTAGTGTTGTGCAGGCTGGCTCACTGTCACATTGTCATGGCTTAGTGAATAGAACAAAGACATTGTTAATGTTATTAATAACACCTGTGCTTTCTTTACACATCAAAAGATCTGCTGTGCACAGAAAAGCAGAAGCCCATTTCACTGCTTTTTATAAAAGTCTTATTAAACCAAATACAGATTAGGTTAATTGTCAGATAAGTCATATAGCAATACCATTATTTAATGTATAAATCACAATAAAATTTACCAAAATGCAAAATGAATTTCTGTCTCTGTGTTACAGCGGATATTTCAGGGAATTGGGTGTTGGCTTATGTATTAGTTTAGAAAGAAATAGCAGGATGTGACTACAGCACCTCCACATGGGAGTCTTTAATGTAGGCCTACTATATGTTTGTATGACAGTATGATATTGCTCTCTTTTGTTCTGTTTCTTCTCATACTGACACTGATCTCCACCAGGTGGCATCGTAGTTGCAAGAATGACACTAACCTGCTGTTATCCATCAGTAGAAGCTGTGCTCCAGCCAATATAAATGAAGGACTGTACTTTTAAGTTAATGCACAATCCTTTCCAGGAGAAGGAGGGGAGAACACCGAAATGTGTCCATCCATAAATATAAAAAAACGTGGAAATGACTGATCAGCCTTGAGGGCCTATCAATGGTTAAAATAAAAACAAAGCAATCATTTTTCATTTTAATTCATAATCCTGTTCATTTGTCCAACAGCCCTATATTGCTTAGTTTATAAATTATCTCTACCTACATTTTGCTCGCACCAATACTGCACGAGGCCAGAGAGGTTTGGTTGAAACCAAATAATTAACAGGATGATCTGGAAAATATTTAGGCTACTTTTCACGGAGGGTTCCGCCCAGAAACTTCAGTGACCGCATTTTTCTGCTGTTTCATGCTCAGACAAGCTGCTGAATGAACGTCTCTTCTCTACTCACACGCACTTATGTTCACTTTGGCAGCACATAGCAGCGTGTGCATGTGTCGATGGATCTGATCAAGCTTTGGTTGGGTGTTTCTCTTTAATTCTGCGGCATCTCTCTCTCTCTCTCTCTGTATGCGCCCCCGCTGCATTGGAGGAGGGTGGGCCGTGAACACAATGAGCAGATTTCGGACAGTAAACTAACTGATGCGACATGGACGGAGGGTGGATTTAGAGGTGACTACTGCACATACCTCGCCTAACTTAGTTTGCATTAAGTGAATTTGGGACTGGCGTGTAGAGCTTCAAGTTAAACATAGGCTCCGGTCTGCATGACCTAAACCCCCAGAGGCTCCGCGGACTTTGGAGACATTCTGCAGAGGCGTTTTTGCGCAGCGCGGAAAGGGGATGATCTCCAGGTCAAGTGATAAGACAGGCGATTAAGTGAAACTGCGATTATCAAGGGGCACATAGGCTGCCCTGTGTAGCGGTGCAAGATGATGTCACTAATAGATCTGGATGATGATCAGCGATGGGTGCCCACCCATGTGAATGTCACCGTCCTCCGCGCAAGAGGACTGCGAACCAAGGGCAAGCACGGCAGCCGCTACCTCTACGCCATCATCCAGGTGGGGAAGGAGAAATACACCACCGGGTTGGTGGAGAAGGCGGAGGTACCCGAGTGGAACGAGGAGTGCTGCTTCGAGCTGCTCCCCGGGATCCTGGAGGACGGCGGCCGGAGCGCCTACCCCCCCGGGAGCGGGGACCTGGTCCTCACTGTCATGCACCGGGTGCTTATCGGACTTGACGTGTTTCTCGGTCAAACCATCATCCCTCTCGATAAGATATTTCAGGACGGAGTATGTCCTCGAGATGAGTACGTTGTGTTTGAATTTTTAGTGTAGCCTACATGACAAACCGCGTAGTTTGTCAGTTTAATGCTCAAACATAAGATGCAAATGTTTTTATGCCAGACTAGAATAAGCAGTGATGGATGAGGTACTCTGATAAGTAACAGTAAGTAGCAGTACAACAGTATACAAATACTTACTTAATACAATTAAAAGTCCTGCATTAAAAAACTTAAACCAGTATTGAAATCAAAATATGAAACTACTTATTATGCAGAATGGCCCTTTTCAGAATGATGTTGATGAATTTTTATTATGTAAAGATCACTAATGATGCAGCTCATAAAGGTGGGGCTAATTTTAACTACTTTAGATACTGTATCTTAATCCGTAATAATACATCATAATTTAGTAGTTGATTTATATTTTGTATTAATCTGAATTTGTAGAAACTAAAGCTGTCAAGTAAATGCAGTGGAATAAAACTTACAACATTGGCTTCAAAAATAGTAGTGGAGTATAGTATAAAGTATAAAGGAGCATAAAATGGAAATACTCAGGTAAAGTAAGTACGTTAAAATTGAACAGAACTTGAGAAAAAGTGAATGTACTTAAATTACACTCTGAGGATAGGGTAGGGTTAGATTATTTAATAAACTTTCCAGGAGAATGAATAATTCAATAGGGATGGTTGTCAGGCAGCTGGTCCTGCTTTGACAATCTCCTGCACTGATTATCAAACATGTGCTTCCCCAACTCAAAACACAGCAGCTGATTTCACTGATTAGCTTCCACAAGAGAGGAGAAGAGTTCAACAGTTAAATCAGTTGTGTTTTGCAGGAGGCAGAAAGCTGCTAAAGCTTGAACCCTGAATACATTCAGGCTCATTCAATTCTGCCCCCCTGATATCCTTTAGGCTACTCCAGCAGCAGCTCCCACAATGCACTGCAAATCAAGAAGATGAGACGCAGTTTCCACTGTGGAACAAGAAATGGTTTTACACACAAAGCCTCCATCTTAATGCACAATGCACATCCTCTATTTCCATTTATACAGCAATAAATGTATCAACAAATATTTTATTTTAATATAGTTGTGGTAGAATTTTTTTCTGACATTGAGGAAAATCTTTTTTATTTATTTAATGGCCACTGAATTAATTTCTCTAATATTACACTGTATCCTGCTTTACCTACTTCCTGCACCAAATAAGGTTAAAACAGTAACCAGAAAATGGCATTCCACAGTACTTACTTTATCTAGCTGTAGACCTATCAAAGTTGGTATCAGTGCACAGATATAAATAGTACAAGAATCCGAGGAGGAGTGAGAGATTCTTCATTACATTCAGTTTTGAAAAAAAGGCAAGGATGTGGAAATATGTCAAAAAAAGTTTGGTCAAGGAAGCCCAGTACATGAAAATTAGGAAAATGTGTAGTCGTCTGTACTGTGTGTGTTTTAGGTTCTACATAGTGAGTAAGAATGTGACTTTCGGACACGGCTTTTAAGCTTCCTCAGGGATAAAGTTGCTTTGAGAACAAAACAAAAACCGACCGCCTCATTTTTTTAGTTAGGTTCATTTATTTTCTATATATAAGTATATTTATAACGTTATGTTCAGTTTAGTTTGTTCTACAGAGGTTGATTCAACTGTACGGCATTGAAGTTTGGGGTGCTGATTAACTGTATTGAATTATACTCCCCATTTATATCAGCGATGGAAGGCTAAATAAGAGAAACACCTCTCTGTGACTGCTATGGTAATTGATTTAGTAAATTTTTCATTCAGATCATTTATAACTTTCTGACAATCAGCTGAGTTTAATAACAAATTATACTACTTCAAATAAATCATTACAACTGAATCTGTCACACTTTTAACAGTATAAATAAGTTATTTTGTTTATAGTTTTAGTGTATCTTGAAATGTTGCACTGAACCTCTAGATATTGAGTAGGCTATTTGAAGACCTCACTTGTGCCACAGGGGGCACAGCAGTAATATGGGAAACATGTCCACTATCAACACTGAAGAGCAGGATAGAGTAAAGCAATACAACACATCTGGCTTTCATTTTGGGCTCTCCGCCCCTCTACGCTCAGTGAAACTCGCACTGAATTCCTGCTGTTAGTTTTGGCTCTACAACACTTTCTCCAGTCCACTCAAAGGACTTTAGGAGGCAGGGACAGAGGGAGGATTTTACTGGTTGGCTTGGTATTGCCTATGTCTTATACAGCACACACAAGGTGGACCTCGAGGAATTTGGGTTGTGATTTCCTGCTCTGAGGTTTGCAAAACCGTTTGATGACAGAGAATCAGTACAGTCCCAAAAGCAGAATTTACAGATTACATAATATGTTGAAACTGTTGCCAAAAGGAAATCAATGGGTTTTTTTGTTGCTCGTTTTGTCCTGGGGGATAACATGTGCAACCTATAATTTGTGCTTTAAAGAGATGGCAATACACGTCAGATATCCTGCAGTGATGTGAGATTGACTGTCACAGTGTGGATGTTGATATCCCTTTTCTTTTGTGCCTCCAGATGGTTCAAGCTCAACTCTAAGGCAGG